ATGATAAAGGTGAGGTGTTGACAACAAAGGTACCGACGCATCATTGGTGAATTGTCATCTAGCAGAGTATAGATGACGACCACGGACTATTCTAGACAGTCCAGTGGGAACACTAGCAGACTCACAACTTGTAGATGTTAATGAACGGTGTGTTCATTCAGTCTACTCTATCCCCCCCCCCCATATGGTTGCCTTATTGACATATATCGCTCAGGTATCCCCAGAGTGATATTGTCTACCCGTTGCTATAAAGATCCTTTAGAATAGGTCCATTGAGATCATCATTTTAGGGTCAAGGAGTAAAAATAACGGGAACGGGTAATCGGGTTATTTATTTGGTGTGGTGTGTTTATATTTAACTTTTTTTTTTTAAATATTATTATTGTGGATTGAAAACCCTATGTGTTCACCAGGCTCCCAAGCCTGACTCACTCAGTTTCTTTGTATCACAGGTAGCGGCATAAGAGCACAGGTGTGATGAGTTTAAATCTGACGAGAGATTTAAAGGAGAATAGACCATTAGAATAATAAATTGTTGTAAGGTCTGTAATATTACGTTTATGCTTATGTTGTTGTATTGACCATGACATCCCAAAGTTTTTTTAAAATATAAATAAAAATACATTTCCTCGGAAATGATTTGATAATGATATTGTCATGTTTTTGGGAACAAATTCCGCACTATTATTCTTTTGAAAAGAAATACTCTGATTTAAATAAGCATGAACAAATTGATCTTTTCTGGTCGTGAAATTGGGGATGTCACAAGAGCGGTTAATCCCCGTGTTGTTGTCTCTAGAGAGCGGTCCAGCTAGATGTTGTAGGCTCAGGAGAGCAATCCAATTGTTGCTGTAGGCTCGGGAGGTGGTCCAGCCCTATGCTTTGTCATGTGGGGTATTTGGGGGAACTCACTAAGTTTTGGCTTACAATTGTGGATTTCAAATGTTTTAGGTACTTCTGAGGATCGAGGCAAGGTGAAGGCATGACTATACACATCATCTAATGGTTATTATCTTTTGAGAGATACTATGATTTTGATACTCTTGTTTCATGTTATGTGTGAAACAATGTTTTGGTTGCTCATGGTTTTATGGAAAATGACTCTATCTCCTTTTAAAATGAAAAAAATTTACTATGGTTTTTGGGATGTTACAGTAGCATTTGTATTTAACATGGTATCGAAATTTTTATTATTTATTTGCATGTGTAGGAATAATGGATAATAAAATAGCGTCACTACAAACTACAATCATGATTATGATGATGGTGATTGTGGTGATGGATCTTGGTCAGATCTTACCCATGATGTGTTGTTTTTAGTGATGATGCAATTAAGAATTATTGATTTTGTTGCATTTAGTGGGGTTTTCAAGTCATGAAGGTCATTCACATTATTTTATATGAATATGTTTATGACGTCCAGACCACCCATATATATGTCTATGGAGGATGGAGATAATGTTGTTGAGTGTTGTTTCCACCTATAGGACGTTAAAGGAAGAAAGTTTAAAATCTTTCTTCCCCATTCTGTTGGCACGGTTTGTGTTGCAATAACTTGTGGGTGTGTGATCATGTTTGGGACCCGAACCCACGATTTCTGGCTTGTGACCCTTATCACAAGCCATGAATTCCATTTCTCTAATGCCCCTAGAAAGGTCATTTTTCATGCTACACAACAAAGAGTCAACGTTATACTTGTCCTTTCACCTTCAATATATGATTTTTGGGTGTTCCTCGTGTTAAATGTATTCACCCATGAAATATGGTTTTCTAGAGTAGAGGTAAAGGTAAAGGAGAATTAGGAGCATGGAATCATGTCTCCTTCGTTGTCCCTATTGGCCATTTACATTTTTTAAAGGGGAGATATATACCCTACATGCTAGTGATTTTAAGTGTGAAACAAAAATTACAGATGAAATGAAACTCAATCTGAAGGAGTTCAAGTTAACATTACTCGAAACCAAGAATTTTCTGAGTTTCACATGTCGGGAATTTTATGTTCGAGTGAAAACCTATATTTGTTGCAGGCGCCCTTGTACTTGTACCCATGACCTCCATTCAAAGCTCACAAACTAGATTTTGGTGAAATAAAATGGGTGATGCCAGTTTAAATACAATTCAAGAATATGTGTTCTTTCTTAGCTATGCGATTCATGGTGCTGGTTTTACACCAAAGTGGTGGTGGCAGTCACAATTCTAGATAAATATATCTAACGACCTCTATGTAAATGAAAACTCTTATGATTCATGCATGTGGTATTTTCCCCATGTGTGACGAAATATTAATATCATGGATGAGTGAATGTAGACTTGTTAATGATCTGTATTTTTAGTTTTACTTATCTTTACATACTATGTAAAGGGGCGGACCTACACCGGTGGCAATGTGCGTAGCTACCCAACAAAAATAATAACCACCGCTATATCTTGTAAATTTCGCTAATAAATTTGCAAATTATCCCCTCAAAATTTATCAAATATAGAAATAAAGTCTTTAAACTTATAGTTTAGCTTCTCACCCTCTTATAAGCCCCATTAAACCTACAATATTTCATTTTGGTTCGATGGGAAGCACAAATTTGCATAAATTTCTTTCCATTTTTCCATTTATATACTAAACATTTACATACCCTTTTACCTAGAGGCAATAATGTAGGAGAATGATTTTTTTTTCTATCTTGTTGTCCTTTTGTTTAAAAAGTCTAAAGATATAGACGGAATTTTTTTTTTCCAATTCAGTAAAAAAATAATAATTTAAATTTGCATTGAATAAACAATTTGGCCAAAAATTGGTTTTAGACAAATGTCGAACAAGTAGTATTTTTATTTTTATTTTTTATTTTTTTGGCACCCACCCAAAAAAAATCTACCCTTTGTTTTTAGGTATAATTTTTTTTACAACTATCAGTTATAAATAGGTGATTTGGTACCCTGCTTTTAAATTTGCGTCTAATGCATTATGTGTAGCACATTGGCATGTTGTGTTGAACACTTGAAGATGAAGGACATTCGGTTGTCATTTGATAAATGTTACAAACACATGTGTGGATTGTCGAGGGACAGTGGGTGGTATTTTTACCATTTTGAATTACGGATTTTCTGGTCCATGATTGTTATTTAGATTTAGTGGGTCAAAACATAATATATATCATATTTATTTTGCTGAATGTGAAATGATTTAAGAACATTTTACTATGTTTTATTTATTTATTTATTTATTTTTTTGATTTTCCAAGTTTCATGTTCAACTCATGAAATGAGAGTAATGCAACATCTCACAAACTTTGTCTTTGTTCGCGTCCTTAATGTACTTTAATTGTTCTTCTATAAAATCTGAACCCAAGTTTTCTTTATAATTATATTGCCTTTTGATTTTATTATATGTTTTATTAAATAACTAGATATATTCATATATTTTCTTAAATCAAAAACCAACTGTTTAATATTGAATCGAGAAAGCAAACAACAGACAAATAGGTTACACAATTACTTATATAAAAAATAACACCAATCCGTTTAGTAATAATTTTCAAAACAAATAAACTACTCTTGAAATGAAGTAAATTTTGCATGAAAATGCAATTAATACGTAGCTTAAACGCATTTCGAAGATATAACGTTCAATACAAATCTTGGTATTAAATCTTACATATGTTTTTAAAAAAAAAAATATTTGACCATTCTAGATTAGCAACTTAGAGAAACCAAAAACTAGAATAAAAACATGCAATTATGGATCCTAGTTACATTAGTTGGCATAAAAAGAGCATATAAGGGAATAATGTCAAACTTGAGCTTGGTTTTTTTACTTTCAGTTTATATATAGTTTTTATTCTAAACATATTGTTCATTTTATATTGTAAAAAATTCCAAAGGCATGAGGGGTACGTAGATGATGGGTCGTAATCAATAAATGTGAAGCATGTTGAGGAGAATATAACACCAATGATCAATGTATAATTTATAAGCTTCAGTAACAGATAATATGTAATAGGAGTATATGTGCATATTGAATGGTTATTACTAAAAATGCTTATGGTTTCTATTCAATTATTTAATTTACTCATCATGGAAATAAATAAACGGGATTTTTTACAAGCTTTTTATATTGAAACTTCGAGTTTTGCTTGGTTTTGGTGGTGGTGGAGATGATCTTGTTCTTAGCTTTCTTGGACTTTTGTAAACTATGATCTCTTTCTCCCAAGCTTGAATTAGTTTCCTCGATCTTTGAGTGGATGAGTAACCATCGCCTAATTGTACATAACAAATAATGAGCATAAATTTTACTGAGAGACTTTTCATTACAAATTAGCCATTGGTTTTAAACATCATTATTCATCAAAATATATAATTTTGAATAAATAATGGATACGTAAACATAAAATTGAAGTCATACTTGACAACTTCTTCCAATATTTATTATTTTTTACATCGATTATTTGTTTGTTTAACACTGGGTATAATAATTAGCTTGTAGTGAAACAAAAAAGAAAATTAGTTTATTACCTGAAGTGGCATGAAGTAATAATAGAAAGACTGACACCAGAATTACTAGGTGTGGAGGAAACTTGGCCATCTTCAATTCATCTTCGATTTCATTTTAGGTTTCTTTAAAGTTTAAATAGTTGGGCAGGTTGACTTTTATATATATGATGATTGGCATTCTGTTGCAACACTGCTGTTACCAATAGTTGACTTTTATAAATTATGATCTTATTATACTACAACTATTAAATAGATTTATTGGTTATAGAAATAAAAATTAACATTGATGTAATTAATAGAGAAAATTTTAAAGTAGGATGCTATCTAAACAAAATATATGAAAGTGTACATTGCTATTTCTTGCATTTATCCCTAACACAAAACCAGAACCAAGTTTTGGTCCAAAAAAAAAAAAAAAAAAAAAAAAAAAAAAAAAAAAAA